TTTTTTTTTTTTTTTTTTTTCTTACCATAATAAATATCCCGGCAAGTTGTTGCCCACAGAACATCCCTAGCGTAATGCACAGCCCTTTGATCGTTGCCCGATCTCGGAACAGCTCCGACAGTTTGTTCGTCAATGGTCCCGAGACGTTTATCTCTTTTGCTTCCTGCTGCAGGCGCAACATTTCTTGCTCGACCAGCAACTTCTGTCCACTTCTCAACCATGTCAGAGATCTGGGGAAAATACGGAATAGAACGTCGTGCGAAAATTGCGTGTGTTATGCGTATATGCGATTGGTCGATTGAACGAAGAAGAAAGGGAAGAAATTGCCTGTGCTTGCCTAGATGCTTCGTTGATCCGATTGTTTCGCACCAGATATACAGGCGATTCCGGTAGGAAAGGAAACGTGGCGATATAAAATAGAGGGAACGCGAACATCGTGATCGAATACCATTGATACGGGAGTAGAGCGCCGAGTACGTAGCCGAAAAGAATGCCGCCATTCAGCACGAATACCATCAGACTGCCTAGCATGCCGCGTATACCATCGCTTGCGATCTCGGACACGTATAGCGGCACCGAGAACAACGTCATCCCGCCGGATATACCCGAGAAGAAAAGGCCGATAAATAAATAGGTGTGTTGCGTCGCGAAGATGATGAACAACCAAGTGGTACAATGCGCCAAAGCTATCAGATATCCTGTCACTTTATGTCCGAATCTGTTCACTATCGCGCCGATTATCAAGCTTGTTAAAGCGGCCGTCAGGCACATAATCCCGGTCAACCAGGATGCCGCCTCCTTCGTCATCGGCCTGTTACCTACTGGAGGATTTTCACTTTGTAGTTGCGGCATCGTCGGCGATTGCCAGCCTATCATCGTTCCAAACGAGAAGGATGAGATGTTTGCTAAAAAAAAAAATAATAATAATAATATTTTATATATAATATAAAAATAATAATAATGATAACTTTCCCTTATTTATTTATTTGTACCCTCTCTGTCCTCATTTGTTCGAGCAACAACTCACCGATTAACGCAACGAGAAGCTGCCGGAACTTCCCTGGCTCGTCAATTTCACTTCTCGTCATCTTTCCCTTCTTTACGCATATATTTCTCTCTCGACCAATTCTTCCTCAGTTCTTTTCCTCCCGGACGATGTACCTCGCTCATCCGTGTTAAAACCGCAAACGTTGGAGAACTTTGTGTTCTTTCGATAAACGGCGCGCAATATTTCTGTCGCCAAAACTTCGATCCTTTGTCCAATTTATACCGATCGGTAATCATCTCATTACCATATAAATGAGCCGAATATAGTTCCTCTTATCTTCTATTTCACTTAGCTCCCTTCTGTGTGCACTCGGCAAACAGTCACACATTCATACGTCACTTTCCTCGTTGCTCTCACACCTTTTTTTCTTTCTTCTTCACTTTCGCATTCCAACTTTCCGCGTACTTGAACTCTTCTCTTGCATAAAATTTCATTGTTCTCTTTTACTTTATTCGTTCACTTTCTAATTTGTAACATATAGTGTATACTACTTGTTACGAGGAGTATTTCAAATTCTGCGAATAAAATTGTTCCGCCATCGTCATTCATCAAACAGAATTAAACATTCGAGTGTGATTTATTGAAGCTCAGGATTAATTTACGATCTCGTAACAAATCTACCTTCAAGCAAAAGGTTTTATAATTTATGCGCATCCATATACACATCAATTTTTGGTGCACCAGTGCACGTGCTTGAACTCGTCATTGCATCACAAGTGCAATTTTGCGATAAGTGTGGCAAACGTAATTTCAGTAATCAAAATGATTTTCTGATAAAATAAAATAATCACTCATGGTGGATTTCTCGATCATTAGGTTGGATTCGCCTGTCAGCATCTATTGCATCAGTTAGTGGTGCAATTAATTCTTTACTATCTACAGTTATAAGTTTCGTATTTCGTATAATTCGTACTTGCTTTTGAATGAATGTCAAACGAATCAAACTGATTATTTTCGATAAAAAATAATTGAATAGATACATTAATGATCGTATAATTATAATACTTAATTTGCATTATATACGTATACGTACATATACCTATAATACATACACGTATAGTATAGTACATATATATAGGTGCAACTGTACAACCGATGTAATACGTCAGAACGTATCTGGCGCAGCTAGATAACAGCAATACAGGTACTTAACCTAACAAAACTCTTTTTTGTGTCTGATATGTATCAAATCTCCAAGATGCCAAAAAAAAAGCAAATTAGAAGAGAACTCATACCGTTCCTGGATAAATATTGTTGCATTGTAAAGACAGATTTACAAATAACAATCCCATTTTCTAAAAACATGTTAACATGAACAATGTTGGCAGTGTTGATTTTCATCAACAGGAGATATTTTTTTTTTTTTTAATGACACGTCCTTTCATGTTTTCTTTTTTTATTTTTCTGTAGCACTTCGACTTTCTTCATACTATAATCCGCAAACCAGTAAAATTGCTATGCACTAAGAAAAAAGAGGTATTCGAAACTTGAGTTTCAAGCTTTTTAAGTTAAACCTTAGGTATTCGAACAAATATTTGTTTGTATAGTAGCTTAATTTTGAAGAAACTAAGAAAAGTTTTATGAATATGTGTGAATAAATGTAATATTTATAGTGTGTTTCTTCTTGTTAACCATCATGTTTGATATTGTTACATGAATTGCAACATTTCATAAAACTTCTCTTGGATTGATTACTGCATGTTACTTTTCTCATTTCATCAACATTGTTTTTTTGTTTTTCCTGAAAGATACGCTATCTGTTTCTCTATTCGACATTTATATATAGATATATATCGTGAAACATGGCATGGCACTGCAGTGGAGCAACAAACCACGAAATGATAACTAAACTAAAAGGTAAGATCTTTTTGTAATAACTTTGATAAAATGGCATTAAGCTCTAGATTCTATGGTAACATGTAGGACATAATTGCGAAATTGTATTGTAGAAGCAGGTATTCTAGCCACAGATAGAGCAGAAGCAGCAATGATTGCTGTAGATAGAGCACATTATTATCATGAAGCAAATCCATATCTTGATCAACCAAGAAAAATTGGCTACAACGTTACAATTAGTGCTCCACACATGGTTAGTAAATTACTTTAATACCTATTGTTAAAATTGTACATATATTGTCTACTGTAGAAATTTACAATAACAAGTTTGAATATAGTAACTGCTGAAGAAAGTTAAATTTTTTATTACAAAATAGTTATTTTAAAATCTAGGAGATTCTTGAAATGAAATGAATAATATTGTTTTTCAGCATGCATATGCCTTATCTATCCTCTCTGATCAATTGTTCGATGGTGCAAAAGCATTGGATGTTGGTTCAGGATCTGGTTACTTGTCAGCGTGTATGGCATTTATGGTGGGTTCACGTGGTCGTGTGATCGGGATTGATCATATTCCAGAACTAATAGAAATTTCAACAAAAAACGTAAGCGAAGATTGTCCTCATTTCATCAAGGAAGAACGCGTTAAATTCGTAGGTAAGAAAATGCGCAGCTATAAACGTGTTGCAATTTCTATTCACGAATAGTTGGTATCGGGAAAAAGGAAAAAGGAATTCCTTGTCAATACACGGTCTTTTTCCTACAACGTTTGAAAACTTCACGTATTCAAGAATTTGAAAGTAACGTAGATGTGTTGAAGTAAAAAATACTCATAATCCACCAACGTGGAGTAGGTATGTACTTTGCCATGAAGAATCAAACAGGACTATATCCACCAACTGCGTGACTTTGACTGTGCGTTATATAAAAAATAGACCAAAAACTAACAACAGGTCATTGTAAATGCGCCTAGTGGGAGACGGTCGATTGGGATATGCTGCTGAAGCCCCTTACAATGCGATTCACGTTGGAGCGGCCGCAGATACTTTACCACAACAGGTATTGCAACAGACTTAAAGATACACACACACGACACACACACACACAACTATACTATACATTTTTATAATTAAATATACCAAGAATAAGGCTTGTCTTATATTTCAGTTGATAGATCAATTGACTCCTGGTGGACGGCTAATTTGTCCGGTTGTTGCTATAGAAGGTTTTCAAAGGTTTCAAGATCTGGTACAAGTAGATAAAAACGTCGATGGTACGGTTATCAAAAAAAAGTTAATGCAGGTTTCCTATATTCCTCTTACCGATCCTGCTACTCAATTAGCAAACGATTATTAATACAACGCGTCCAAACACTTAGAAATTATTTAAGCAGCTTTAAATGTAGAAACACAAGATCATTGAGTACAATGATGATTACTGCGTGATAAAGATAATTTTCTCAATAGATGTTAATAATATTTGAACGAATTCTCTCGTATTGTATAATATTTCTTGAAATAACAATTTTTTTGTTTTGCCGATACATACATTGAACAATGTATTTGTTATTTAATGTACAGAACTACTGATATTTATTGAGGTAAAATTGATAAAAGTCTTTTCAGTGCTAAATTAAGTTAATATTCCAAACTTTGTTATTTTTGCAAATATTTAGATAAATAATAATCATATATATTTAGTAAATTATTCGTAGATTTAACACAGAAATTATTTTGTAATTAATAAAAGTGAATAATAAATGATAATTATTTATAATGAGACATACACATGTATGATATATCTTGCATGCTATTATATCAAAAATCAAAAAATCTGATCATTTGTGAACGATGGAAGTACTCGACTAGGGAAGAAATAAAAATGTAAAAAGAGTTATTATTATAGATTTTGTTGCATTTCTGAAATTGAAAAAAATCATTTAATAATTTATTGTTTATTAATCTGTATGAATATATCAACTAAATAAATAAATATACTACTACTATAAATAAATAATAGTATGAATGATATTATAAATAAATGTCAATCATGTGATCGTAACTTGAAAATATCAATAGTAAAAGATTTATAATCGGCCATCTTTTTAATTAGTTTTTAATTAACTTTTAATTAACAAATTTTACTTTGCTCCAAACTTTGATCTTGAAATTGCCGCCGTAACGAGATAGCGTGATGTTTGTCGGGCCTATAAAAGCTAACCTATAAAAAAAGGAAATCGATGCAGCGATGAGGTGTGTCAGCGCAAATAGATCAGTTTTTAACATAAACTGAGATAATTGAATCGGTTTTTCATTAGAAAGGAGACTATTAAATCCATAAACGATTTTGTGATTTAGCAAGAAATATTTCTACAACGAGTTATAAAATAAGAGATATAACAAACGGAGACATAAGAAACAATTTTAAAACGATATTAATTTTCACGTCAGCCAAACGAAAACAGCTCGAACATGATATTTGAAAGGATTTGCTACCAACGGCAGAGATTAACCGTTGGTCGTGAATATGTTCAAAACGTCGGCCAACAAAATTTCTACGCGATGTGTCGGACTAAAATTTGCAATCCAGATTAAATAGTATGCTGCAATCACACGCAGAGCAGAAACAGGTAATTAAATTTATAATTTTCTTTTCTGCAATATTGTTCTGTTATTAATATTCCTAATCTAATAGTCATTATAGTCCAACAAAGCCGAATCATTCTAGAATCGAACACAACGTTTCATCTTTTGTACTCAATTTTGTAATTTTAACGGTCGTAATTTTCTAGAAAATCAAATTAAACACGGAACAGTGGTACATGTTCGTGTTACATAAATGTGCATTCTATTTTATTCATCGTGGTTTAAAAATAACGTTCGATCCGAGTCGCTAATAAATTCTCATCGAGGCTGGAAATTTTCTTATAATTACGATAGGATTACGATGTAATACAAAAATTATTTATTAAAAATGGAATGATTAGTTACCGTTATTATTAAAGTTACCGATTAAAGTTAATAACGTAACTTAATGATCTACCTAATGTCTTATTCATTGTCAATGTCAATGTTTTTTAAATACTTATATATATGAAGAGAATGTGTAGGTTAGTTATGTGTCATGAGAGATATGATGAAATATTTACATTGGTGTATATGTATATTATTATCGACCGCAAATTGCTCTATCAAAACATACGCGATAACATAATATAAATCAAGTATACGTATGTGTGTATGTACGTATATTTTTATACTTGAAGACTCAAGTAGTGAAAGGAATAACCGGTTTCCAAGTAGATTACGGAGAGAAAAAAATGAAAAGTAAAATGATTTGTCATGCAATCTTCAGCCAGTTTCGCTTGATTTCGATTGACAGGCATAAAAAATGTACTCATTAATTTCGCACGTTCTGTTTTGTTCTACTATTTCGGAACAAGCGTAACAGTATCCTAGAAATAGGTGTGAAACTAGATACATTCATATATATTGAATACGCATTTCGAACAGATGTTCACGAACAGAATTTTAACATTAGATAAATATTTGTAGAAGTATCATTTATCATTTATCATTTATATCAGGTATCATTTATCGTCACAATAGTCTATCAATTATCTATATATAATAGATTCTAGCGTAATCTGTTGTCGTCAGATCTACCATAAGCGCAAACAGCGAATTTTTTTTTTTTTTTTTATATACCAACATTCTTCGCAGCCATTAAATGATCGATCTTGATGTCAGTGAATATTCATAAACATACTACGTGGCTGTTAGATGCCCAGACAAGCATCTACATATTGGAAATCGATTCTGTCAAGGCGATTCTGAGAAACGTATAATACGATTTAATAGAACCAAAACTAAAGGAACGCGCCAAAACAGCGAAGTCGTCCTACAAAAAAATGAAATAACAGATAACGATGTAAAAATACATTTTCCTTACTTTTTCGATCGTTGTTCGATTGCGGTGGTGTTGAAATGAAAAAGAAAAAAAGGGGGAGATAAAAATGTGGCACCACGTGTCGCAACATTTTGAGAAAAACGTGCTCCTATGAAAAGAAACGCGCGTCGGATTCACGATTCAGTGTATCGCCGACCGTTCCTCCGATAGGAGTTGATCATAATGCGATTTCATTCGTGAGCGAAATTCTTCTGTGAATTCAACAGACACACGTTCACCGTCGCCATACAGAAAAATTTTGGTTCGTTTTACATTATTGCTTACTAATGTTCAATGCATTCGTGTTAATTCTTTCTTCTTCTTTTCGTCCTTTTGTTGTGGTTTCTCTTCGTCTTCCTTTCCTTTTTTTTTCTCTTCTTCCTCCTGCGTTCTTTCCGATCCCCTCTACCGATTTCATGCTTCTGTTAAATTATTCTACTTTTTCTTTTTTTTTGAATCAGCATTAGGGAAATGTGTGTGTGTGTAATATAATATTAACAGTGACACAAATCGATGATCATGCTTCAGAATTTGGGGAAACAAACTGCAAACAGGTAATTAAATTCTCAATTATTGCAACAAATGTTGCGTTATTGCTCTCCTAAGTGTCTAATACATAGCACATTTAATCACGTGTTTAACGACGAATCTTCTGGAACTAACGTGATATTTTTTTCCCCCATAGAAATTTTTCATTATCAGCTGAATATCTCGCCGGTAGGTTGCTCAAGCGAGAGCAACTTGTTCGAACAGCAAGAATGAGTTTCCTTTTTTTCTTCTTCTTTATCTTTCTAGTTAATTGCTGAATGAAAAGGAGATTAACACGATGAATCATCAGTTTTCACAGAATCATGACGGATTGTAACGGCAATCGTAACGATTGTATCTATATCATAATTGATAATCGTAAAATACACGTAAATTTGGAATGAGGTTATCCGAACTTAAACTGGCTCGGCATAGCACAACAGGCATTCCTGTTGTAGGCTGACTATTTCTATTTGAATCTATCGATCGGGACCCTGTACACTCTTCTTGATATCGACCTTCTTGTAATACCCGGTGTGTATTCCGATCTGCTTATGATCTGGTAGCGGAAGGAAGACGTCAAGTTCGCTTAAACTACCATTATTAAACAATCAATTAGATCAGTTATCCCCAAAAATTTCGCTCTTGTAGAGTTGTCGCTACCACACGTGTTTACGTTGTATTAGAGGAAAGGGTATCTATTAGGAAAAGTAAAGCAGTGAGCAACTAAAGAAAGAATATCGGGAAAAGTAAAGCGAGAAAGTAAAAAAATTTCAATGTTCCAAAAACTTGATCGGTATATTTTCATTATAAATTGGTA